TTCGCCCTTCAATTTACAATAGCCAATTCCTTTGCCGTCATCAACTTCATTACTATTCCAAAAAAAGAAAATTTCTTTTTTTTGCTTTTTTTTATTGTCTTTTTTCAAAGATTTTACAACTTTTTTGTTTACAAATTTGTTTATAGTATTGTTAACGTATTGTTTTAGAAGACAAATGTTAAGTTCTTCAAAAAGAAATTTCTTTTTATTTCTAAACAGTTTTCTTAACGGCAACTCTTTTCTGCTCTTTTTTTTGCTTCTTTTTTTTTTTGTTGCTTAAGTGTTCGCTCTTAAAAGTTTCTTGAAAATATTACCACCATAATACAGCAAACTGAAAAGGTTACTGTTTTGCTTGTTACACCAAAAAAAGAGTCTAAAATTTTCATCTATAATTGCTCTTCAACCAAGTTAAGATCAGCCAAAATTGGACTAATTTTTTTTGCGCTAAAAGTTTTCAAAACAACAAATAAACTGAACAGCATTTCAGACAGATTTTAACAAAAAAAATCTATATTTTTTTGTCGAAAAAAAACTAAGCGTAAAAAATGTCTGCAAAATTTAGTATTTCAAAATAGTATTATTGCTGCTGCAAAAAGATTATCAATTAGTTGTGAGGTTACAAAATTTGTATGCTTTTAAAAATCTGCAAAATATTACCTTCTTGTTGATTTGTAAAAAAATACATTTTGCTTTCACTGTAATATTTTTATAGTTGAAATTCATTTATGTTTTGAATTCTGCATTGAAAAAAATGTGGCTAAAATAAGCAGTTGTCTAAGACCTAAGTTACGTCTATTTAAACTTTCTAGCGTTTTATATCTGGTAATTTTTAGTATCTTTATAAAAATGGTTGAATACATACAACTGAAAAACTAACTTATGAAATAAAACCAAAAGAAAAGATAAATTTCTTGACGGTTTTTGTTTGGTGGAATAAAAAGTGCTAAAAAATTTTGGTATTATCAACAGAACAATGTTTGGATTAATGATTCAGTCACTGAAATGAAGCCCAAATTCTGGTTCAAAATCTCCTTTTTTTTTCTTGTTGCGGAGAAACCAAATCAACTGAATTCTGCAGTTCTAGATCTGTCTAGATTCTTCAATAAATAAACCAAAACTTATAATGGAATAGTCTAATAGAAGAGATAGAAGGAAAGATAAAGAACTAAATGTCCTTTTTTGCTGAGATGGATGAACAAAATTGAAAGTTAATCGTTAAACGTTTTAAACATTGAACAAATATCCAAACTTTTTTTTTCTTTTGAATTCCTCTGTAATCCTTTTTGATCTTTGACAAACAAAAGGTGTAAACGACAGCAACAACAAAAAATAGTTCAATTCAGTAACTAAGAACCAAGATTATGACTGTATTTTTCACTGTTAGAACGACAACCTCTTCTTTGTCGTTTGTTTTTTTTTTTTTTTTTTTTTTTTTTTTT